CTCACAGGATAGAGTCCGAGTAGTCCAACAACAGCTGCACCACACTGGAGAGGCTGAGAATCCGTAGTCATTCAGTCCACGAGGCTGGATGTCTCAGTAGTCCCAATCTGGCACTGAAGGTCTGACAAATTCCAAAAGATCAGCTAGTCTTCAGTCTACAGCAGCAAGACGAACTCACCAGCTAGAGAGAAGACAAGCAGCAAGAAGCCAGGCATTCTCCTCTGCCATGGCCTTTTATACAGGCTGCCATCAGAAGGTAACACCCACATTTACGGTGTGTCTTCCAGCTTCAGATGATCCAATCAAGAAGATCACTCTCATTTCAGTTAATCCCAGATCTAGTCAAGTTGACACCCAGGATTAGCCATCACACCCTGTAACTACTGGTCTTTACCGTGAGTTATCAGTGATTTTTCTCTTGAATACTATAAGGTACTAATCCCAGGAAATTTTTTCCTTTCTGAATATCATGCCGTTTGTCAGATATTTGATAAAAGATATAATACAAAAATATTTTAATATTGGTGGAGCTGGGGCTGAAGAGATGGCTCAGTGGTTAAGAGCACTGACTGTTCTTGCTGAGGACCCAGGTTTAAGTCCTGGCACCCACATGGTGGCTATGAACCATCCTTAACTCCAGTTCCAGGGGAATCCAACGCCCTCTTCTGACCTCCGCAGCATTGCACGACATGGGTGCACTCACATACATGCAGGCAATACACTCATACACATAAAATAAAAATAATAAATAAAATATTTTTTAAAAGATTGATGGGGTCACTAAAGATTTACTGACATTTTAAAATAAAACATAGATACTGATTGAAAGAAAACAAAACAGTATGAAAAACCTGTAGGTTTCAAGGCAATACTAATGTACAGAATAGATTCTGAGATTAAAGGTTCAGAAATGTACTGTCTTCATGTAAAATCAATTCACCTTTTAATACACATAAACAACACCCCCTCAGGGAACCAGTTTGAAGCTGTGTTCTCGTGCTTGATAAATAGAAAGTAGTTTACTGAAAAATAAAGATGTGATTATATCATATTTCACTTTCATTTTAGATCTTTGACAGTGATGATGATATATTTATCTCAGAATTGCCTCCTTCTATTAAAAGTTTGAAAGGAGGTAATATTGCCCAAGTAACCTACTCACTACCAGTGTCCAAGTGGATGTCTGACTCCAACAAAATTACCATAAAGAACTTGCTTGCTCTGGAATCCCCGAATTGTAAAGCCATCAGTGTTCAGTTCTACATAAAAGAAATGATAACAGCTCCACTGAGAAAAGTGGCATGGTGCTGGTGTGAGTAATGGTATTTGATGGCAATGGTAATGCATCCTTCATGTTATACATGATGTAGAAAGTAATGTATGATGTGGGAGGGACATCAGGTCTGGAACGCTTTCATGCTCTACAAGCTACTCAAGGATTTCAACTTCATTCTGTTTATAGCATGTTAGCTCTAGAAAGAAGAATGTCATAACAACCAGATTTCTTAGAGATAGTAATCTAGCTAAATTATGGGTATGATCAAGGGCACTGAGTTGCTATCCATGTCCTATATGTTTAAACTACACCTGCTTCTGGTTAGTTACTTTGATCAGCTCTACTGGCCACATTTTGACAGGCCCCAGGGAAAACTTCAGACTACTCATCACCTAATTTTTCATTATTACGTTCTAAGTAAATTTTTCGCTATTTTGTCTACCTGTGCCTTTTCATGGTATGTGCCCAAATAGGTATTCCCAACACACTAATATAGAAGATTTTATTTTCTCATATTCAAGCATTATTTCCTTATATTTCATTAGGACATTCAAATTAACTGTGTTTTGTTTCTCTCATATTCTTTTCTTTCCCACATTGTTTAATTTCTTCATTCTATATTAATTTCTATAACAGTTTTCATCATTAACACATAACCTTTTTAAAGTGAAATCACATTTGTGGTCTTCATTAAAATTTAATAGTCTACTCGATTATTTAAACCTGATGAGTCTGGGCCTAATTTAACCATAAAAATGATGTCTGAGATTCTTGGAAAAAGATATATATGTAGTAAACAAACTGAAAGAGAGTGATTAGACATGAGTGTGTGTCCAGTATATACACAAATCAGGCTGAAGTCCATGACAATGCTTTGTCAAGAGTTTTCACAAAAACAGTACTAGAAAACTGTGGTGATTCACCTTAAGCAGAGATATGAACATTTTAATGCAAATGTTCAACCTGATTTGGTTAAGAGATACATAGAAGTTTAGTAAAGCACCTATCAGAGTGTTTCCAAAGAGGATTAACTAAGGAGGAAGATCTGCCTTGAATATTGATAGTATCAACCAATAGACTGAGGCCTGGAGGAATAAAAAGGAAGAAGGGGAAACCCCTCCAGCAGAGGCATATTTCTCTGCTCTCTCATTGTCCCTCTCTCTTTTCCTTTCCCTTTCCCAAATTAAACGCATAATTTCAAATGATCTAGCAGGTATCATCTATGTTTATGGTGTAGGTGAACTTCACTAGATCTTAAAGTTTTGTGGTGTCTGTAAAGGATCATTTTTTTAAGCTTTTATCTTAGATTTTGTTCATCTGGATGAATTGTGTTTAGTGTTCAGTGCAAATGGATTAAAATAATTAGAATTATTATTATATCAACATAAAAAGAATAATCACAAAAAGCAAAAATATTATTTTTAGGGTATAAGTAGGCATCTGTTTTCTAAATGTTAAGAAAGGGAATTGTGATTGTCAAACTGTTTTACACAAAGAGAACTTTAAAAAGTGTTATGCCACTGTTATATTTAATAAATCATCCATTCCAGTCTTCTGGAAATACAGGGTATAGATGAACACATTTAACAGCATGAAAACACAAATGCAGGACATAAAAACATCTATAAAACAACTAGTCTGGTTACCTAAAAAAATAATATTAAGAAATGGGGGGGGCTATTCAACAGCATATAGACACAGTACTCAATACAATCATAGAACTTGATTAAAAAAATTTCTGCACCATTGTTGTAATGGATGGCTAAGAGAATAAGTGCATTTGTAAAGGGAATTCAACAGTGAATTTGAATCCTTTCAAAGCTGAAGAAAATTTGAATAGGATAATGGAATGATTTTAGTGAGACATACCAGGAACTGGATTTTAATATTATGGAATTATTATTCATTTTCTTAGGTGTAATAGTAGCACCATAGTTAGATTTGATAGTATCCTTATACTTAGGACATGCCTGGTGAATGTTTAGAGGTGAAATATTATGGTGTCTATGTAACTTTGACATTGATCCGAAAAAAAACAGGACAGGCATGTGTACAAAAAGAGAACAATATAAAAATTAAGCAACTGTTCAGATTGGATGAAGGGTAGAGTTGTGCATACTGTATATGTCTTTTAACTTTTCTATATATTTGAAATTTTCCCCAATGGGAGCATTTTTCCTATGATGTTTTTAATTGCATATAGTTGTTGTACATGGTACTAGGCTGCATAAGGATCTTGCATTTTGAAAATATTGGCCCCATGCTCCATCTTACACCCTCTTACTCCCCATTACTTCCTCTCCTCTCCCATTAGTCTTCTACTTTCCTGTCAGATACACTTACATGCCCAATACATACATTTAAAATTACTGAAATAAACTTTGTTTTTAGAATAGTTTTACGTTTGAACAAAAATTGGGTAGTAATGAGAGCTCCCACTTACTTTTTGTCTTCCATCACATTTTCCCCTAGTATTATCTCACATTAGCAAAGCATATTTGATAAAAACTATGGAGACAATATTGATACTTTATTTTCACTAAAGTCCATCAGTTCATACTAGGACTGACTTCTGTTGTGTGAGTCTATTAGTTTTGACAAGTGCATAGCATCATGTTTCTATCATTATAGAAAGGAAAGGAAATTTTCATTGCCCTAAAAGTGATCTGTGTTTCAGTTCCTCTCAGTCTCCTTTTCCCCTAGCTACCACTGACCTTATTATAACTTTTTAATTTTGCTTTTTCCAGAATGCTATGTAGTTTGGATAATATACAATATTAAGGTTGTCTTTTTTTCAGCAATCAATATGCACTTGTTTCTTCCATGTCCTTTTGTGGCTTGATAACTCATTTATTTTTCACTGAGCATTAAAACAAATAAGACAATAACTTTAAAAGCTTAACAGTAAATTGTGAGTTAAATACTTTGTTTGGATCCTTATTTAACAAAACTCTTTAAAGACATTTAAAACATAATTGGGTGGATTTTAATGTTTACTAGGTATTTAATAGTATGAACTTATTCACTTTAATAGATGCAGTAGTTGAACTGATTTTTTTATCTGTTAGGAATAAAATAAAATACTGACAGTGACAAGAAGAAATGAACTGGCCTTGGAGACTTTTATGTGACTCAGTCACATTAAATTTTAGGAACGTGTGATTGGGAAGCAATACAAAAAGGAAGCATAAGTGAGATTATTTCTATGCACAGGAGACCATTCTCATTATGTTCTCGGCTTTTCTTGGGCCTCTCCTCTGTACTTCTCAGTTGAACTTGAGTGTGAGAATGGTAACCTAGCCACCAACCAAGTGTGGATATGCCCAGATTATGAAAAAAACTGGGACCCTTTTAGTCCAAACCTTAGTAAGATCCAGATCATCCTTTCTGTTTCCTGAATTGGAAATCCACTTGTATCTGTGAGGAGACTGAATAACTGGTCCATCTTACACGTCATTGTAGGTGCAATGAAAGCCCTTTTAAACCCACACAAAACTTTGGTATATTAGGAGACACACAAACTTCAATTTAGGTAGCTATCAGCATGAAAGAAAGTGTTGGAATTTTCTTAATGCTTTGGAGAACATGCTTAAAAAGAACGCAGGGTGGCGCTGCAGCCTTACAAGTAGAAGAAAGAGGCGAGCAGCCAACTCCCTGGCAGCCAGACCACTCAAGCAAAGAGAACCCGGAGGAGGAGCCCTGTACTAAGGCGGTCTTAGGTCTCAGGATCCTTGAACTTATCCCAGTGTCTGCAAGATATTTGGGAGACAGACTCCGTGACGACGTGAACCATAGCTGAGCGAGTTTGGGGGAGACCAGAAGGCGATGGAGGCCAGAGAGAGAAAGGAGCGCATTCTCAAACAAAGGCAAGTCCTGCTATTCTTTGTTTTGCTGGGCATCGCTCAGGCTGCTTCCAAGCCTAGGCGCTACTCAGTGGCGGAAGAAACGGAGGAGGGCTCTTTTGTGGCAAATTTGTTTAAAGACCTGGGGCTGGAGGGAGGCAAAGTAGCTGCGCGGAGACCTCGGGTCGTTTCCAAGGAGAAAAAATTGAATTTACAGTTGGATAGACAGACGGGGGATTTATTGTTAAGCGAGAAACTGGACCGGGAGGCGCTGTGCGGCCCCACCGAACCCTGTGTATTACCTTTCCAGGTGTTATTGGAAAACCCTTTGCAGTTTTTTCAGGCTGAGCTACAAATTAGGGACATAAATGATCATTCTCCTGTTTTCCTAGACAAAGAAATAATTTTGAAAATTTCAGAAAGTATTACTCCCGGAACTTCTTTCCTAGTAGAACGTGCTCAAGACTTAGATGTAGGAAGCAACAGTCTCCAAAGTTACGAAATTAGTCCCAATTTCTACTTTCATCTTAAGTTACTAAACAGTCCCGATGGCACAGTATTACCACAGCTGGTTCTGGACAAAGCGCTAGATCGGGAGGAACAATCAGAAATCAGACTGATACTCACGGCGTTAGATGGCGGGAGTCCATCCAGGTCTGGCACCGCCCTGGTCCTCATTGAAGTCTTAGACATCAATGACAATGCCCCCGAGTTTTCAAAGCTTCGCTATGAGGTGCAGGTCCCAGAGAACAGTCCCGTTGGATCCCAGGTTGCTACTGTTTCTGCTAGTGATTTAGACATTGGAGCCTATGGACAAATATCGTACGTGTTTTCCCAAGCCCCTGAAGACATTCGGAAAACATTTCGAATAAATGCAAAATCAGGAGAAATCCTTTTAGCGCAGAAACTGGATTTCGAAACCATTCAGAGGTATACAGTAAATATTCAGGCTACAGACGGTGGGGGACTTACTGGAAGCTGTGTGGTGTTTGTCCAAGTGATGGATTTGAATGATAACCCTCCGGAACTGACTATGTCAACAGTTAACAATCACATCTCAGAAAACTTGCCGGAAACCGTAGTTGCTATATTCAGTGTTTCAGATCCTGACTCAGGAGACAACGGAAAAATGCTGTGCTCTCTCCAAGATGATCTTCCTTTTTCTCTGAAACCATCAGCTGAGAACTTTTACACTCTTGTGACAAACACAGCCCTGGACAGGGAAACCAGGTCTGAATACAACATCACCATCACAGTCACCGACCTGGGCACACCCAGGCTGAAAACCCAGCACAACATAACCTTGCAGGTCTCCGACGTCAACGACAACGCCCCCGCCTTCAGCCAAGCCTCCTACACCATGTACGTCCCCGAGAACAACAGCCCCGCCCTGCACATAGGCACAGTCAGAGCCACAGACTCAGACTCAGGCGCCAACGCCCAGCTCACCTACTCGCTGCTGCCGCCCCACGACCCGCACCTGGCCCTCGCCTCGCTGGTGTCCATCAACGCCGACAACGGGCAGCTGTTCGCCCTCAGGGCGCTGGACTACGAGGCCCTGCAGGCCTTCGAGTTCCGCGTGGGCGCCGCAGACCGAGGCTCGCCCGCGCTCAGCAGCCAGGCGCTGGTGCGCGTGCTGGTGCTGGACGCCAACGACAACGCGCCCTTCGTGCTCTACCCGCTGCAGAACGCCTCTGCGCCCTGCACCGAGCTGCTGCCCAGGGCGGCCGAGCCGGGCTACCTGCTCACCAAGGTGGTGGCGGTCGACCGCGACTCGGGCCAGAACGCCTGGCTGTCGTTCCAGCTGCTCAAGGCCACCGAGCCAGGCCTGTTCGGAGTCTGGCCGCACAATGGCGAGGTGCGCACCGCCAGGCTGCTGAGCGAGCGCGACGCGCCCAGGCACAGGCTGCTGCTGCTGGTCAAGGACAATGGCGAGCCGCCGCAGTCGGCCAGCGTCACGCTGCACGTGCTGCTGGTGGATGGCTTCTCGCAGCCCTACCTGCCGCCGCCCGAAGTGGCGCGCCAGCCCGCGCAGCCCGACGCGCTCACGCTCTACCTGGTCATCGCCTTGGCCTCGGTGTCTTCGCTCTTCCTCTTCTCGCTGCTGCTCTTCGTGGCCCTCAGGCTGTGCAGGAGGACCAGGCCGGCCTCTCTGCCTGGCGGCTCTGTGCCTGAGGGCCGCTTTCTGGGACAGCTGCTGGATGTCAGTGGAGCAGGGACCCTGTCCCACAGCTACCAGTATGAGGTGTGTCTGGCTGGAGACTCTGATACCACGGAATTCAAGTTTCTGAAGCCAATTATCTCCAGTAGTCTGAGTCCCGACACTTAGATGCAGAGCAATTACAAATACAGTGTTATAAAGAAAATAACATGCTAGTTGTTTGGATATAGATAGCTTTCTTTGTAAACAGAAATATCTCCCTGAATTACATTTATCTATGCTGATTTTACTTTCTATAGTATTTGTTGGCGTCCTGCCTTACTAATGCAGTCTTAGTGCACTTTTTCCTTTCACCCCAGAGGAAAGGGTAACTAAACTCAGTGTTTAATGATGATTGAAACAGTTTTAAGATCTCATATAATTTTATTTTTTAAGCAGTATATAATTCCAACCATCATTTTCAGAATTTATCCTGTCAAATATTCTTATATATGATTTATGATACTATTTTCACCTTTTATTTTGGGGAGTATATTAACTTTTCAATGTGATTTAGTGGGACATTGTTTTGGGGGGGGTATTCTAACTTTTCAACATGATTTACTGGGACATTTATATACACTTATATACTTTGATTATACTCACTCCTAACATTCAGCTCGCTCTTTACTTTCCTATCCCCCAAGCTTCACATGCAAGTGAAAATATTCAATGTTTGTCTTTCTGTGTAGCTATTTAGCTCAACTTGGTGATCTCTAGTTCTATTTGTCTTCCTGCAAAAGACATAATTTCAGTCTTCTATATGGGTAAATAAAATTCCATTGTGATTGCTGGAGATATAGCTCAACTGGAAGAAGACTTGCTAAGCATGCACAAAGCCCTGCATTTGAGCCCTAACACCACATTGCAAGTTCAAGGCCCATCTGAGCTACAACAGACACTTTCTCAAAAACAAACAACACTCTACTGTGCATGTACACTACATTTTTTCCCTTTCTGATTAGTTTTAATTTGAAGTCTATTTTTCCAGATATTAGAATTGCAACACTTACTTGCTTTTTTTTTTAACTTTTACAAAAACTTTATTGAGTATTTCATACATGCATATAAGGTGTTTTGATCAAATCCATGCCCACTCCCTCCCCTCCAACACTTCCCATATTTCTCCATCACTTTTTTCTTTTTCTTTTTTTGCTTCATTCATTTATTTATTTTTATGGGGCTTTTGGCTACCTCTGAAGAGGTAACCCTAAAATTCTTTCTTTCTTTCTTTCTTTCTTTCTTTCTTTCTTTCTTTCTTTCTTTCTTTCTTTCTTTCTTTCTTTCTTTCTTTCTTTCTTTCTTTCTTTCTTTCTTTCTTTCTTTCTTTCTTTTTGGTCTTTTTGAGACAGGGTTTCCCTGTAGCCCCAGCTGTCCTGGAACTCACTATGTAGACCAGGCTGGCCTTGAACTCACAGAGATCCGCCTGCCTCTGCCTCCTGAGTGCTGGGATTAAAGGTGTTTGCCACCTTGCCCACCTAAAATCTTTTAAGGATTAGATAAAAGCTCCAAAATACTTTTATCATTTTTGGCCTTTGGAACAGAGTATGCTGCTAAGAGGCCCAAGGACATTTTGACTTTTAGCCAAGAAACTGGCTACTTTTCTTTGGGTCTTTTTACCCTAACTGCGTAGCCAATTCCTACCTCCTATTCTTAACACATCTTCCTCTGAAGGGTTACCCAAATTGCCATTAGGGAATCAGGATGCAGACTGCTCTGGCTTCTTCCATGCTGAACAGAGACGCAGGGTGAGGCAATTGGAGTACCCCTTCAGTGGGTCTATCTAAAAGAATCCCAAATTGCATAACTCTTATCTCTAAGGGGAAAAGAAAGTCCTTGAATCATGAATAGATGTGAAGGAGAAGTAAAGGCAAGAGTAATTAACATTACAAGTTCTATACAGAGAGTACACTCCATTTTCATCGATTCACATTTAGTATAATAATGTGCTTTGGCTATAGGCAGCAGTGTGTATACAAATATGTTTTATTTAAGACAGTAATTTTTATCATTTTAGGAGTATAGCATAAAAAACCCAAACACCTGAAATCCACCTCTTTATTCACACTAGCTATTAGCAATTAATATTTAAAGATTATTTTTTTTAATTTTGGCCAAAGGGTAAAAACAGAGGAATGTCTCAAATTACATTTAGGTTTTTATTATTCATGGTTGTTCAGGGCATATTCACAATAACAGAGGGAAAATTTAAACATAGGCCATTTTAAATAAGAGCATTCTTTCATTTGAAGCACGTGGTGGGATCACAGGTCAGTTTGTAAAAATCTCAACCATAGCAATAAAGACCTGAGGAATGTTCTTTAAATGTTTTGCAGCAAAACCAGTGTCCTGTTGAGCCTTATTTGATTTTTGTTATGTATTTCCCATACATATGTTGACTAGGAGGGAAATAAATCTCTTCTTAGCTTCCTGTCCAGGCTCCTTCAGATTGCAATCTGACATGATTTAGGATTGCTCAGATTCTTTGCTCAGATGACTTTCAAACTACATTCTTCCTCCACCATTGTAATGAAAAGATGTACAAGAATGGGAATTTCTGAAGAGCAGACAACAGTATCATCAGAAATGCAAAACTGAGTACGACTACAGATTCTATCTGGAAGCATTCAAAACTCATACCAGATGGCAATTTTGAGTGAATAGAACCTAGTTTTTCAAGTAACAAGATATTCAGTTCTTAATAGAGAAATTTATTAGTAAAATTAATTCCCTTACTCAGAATTTTTCAGAAATTGTATATTGGTACTAGGTGAAAGAGAATGAAGTAACTCAAGATTTTAAAATTCCAAAGGTGAAAAATAATTTTAAATTGACATATCTTCATTTACATATAAATTGCTGTTATCTGATAAACTGTGTGGGGCTTGGATTATAGCTCATATTCGATTTGGGCCTCCACACTTGGCATGAAGGCAGCCCTGGGCTTAACACCCAGCACCTTAAAAGAATAGTGTGATATTTTATATAATTTGGCATTTTTTATGGTGGCTTCCCAAAACAATTTCTATAGTGACCTCTAACTCAGAACCTCTACCTTTGTCTCCAGAGTTCTGGGATTACAAGTGTGTCCCACCATATATGGCTCCAAACACTTCTTTAACTGGGCATTTCATTAAGTGCAGGACCCAGAAGAGGGACCACATGTACAGCACAAACCAATGCTGTCACTTTCTGAAATTCCACAAACTGAAGTTTGGCACAAGTTTAAAAATGATAAATCTTGTATGTTAAACTTTCTAGTGATTTTCATTGAAGAGTTGGTAACCCCATTACCATAAATTATTTTTACTGACACCTCAACTTATTTGTTCAATTTCTTTAAAAGATCTTTCCTTTTCTTAAAAATATTTTATCATTTTTATTTTATGTGTATGAGTGTATTGCCTGCATGTAGGTAAGTGCACCCATGTCATGCAATGCCCACAGAGGACAGAAGAGGCTGTAGGATCCCCTGGAACTGGAGTTACAGACAGTTGTTAGCTGTCATCTGGGTGCTGGGATTCGAACCCGGGTCTTCTGCAAGAAGAACCAGTGTTCTTAACCACTGAGCCATCTCTCCAGCCCCCAAAAGATCTTGCCTTTTCTTTGATGATGCTGAAAGTTCTTGTATGTTATTCAGGAGGAGTTAATATGCCGTTTAAATCTGTGAATATTATTCCATCTCTCTTTATATGTTTGCAATGGATAAAGTATTCTAAATATCATCCTTAATTTCATTACCAATGATATGACCATAAGAATCTTTCACCTTACCTGACTGAGATAGAATAATTTTTAGATGATTATTCTTTAATAAACTCCTCCTTTGTTCAGATATATATGTATGTTTTACCTGATAAGTTTCAAAGTGTTGGGAAACAATCCATGACATAATATGCTAGGCCTTCCCACTTCCTGGCTCTTAGTTGTAACTTAAAAGATCTACTGTCTCTAATACCATTTAAAAATACCTACATATAGATATTTTATCTAATATTTAAGGCTGGGAGTAATTAATTAAATGTGTCTTATCAACTAAAACATTGAGTGCACATTTTTCTTTCCATTTCTAAGTTGAATAAGTATTTTTCTGTTTGCTGGTAATTGCCTCTTTAGACAAAGTGCTTTAAAGGTTCTAATCATAATTAAAAATTTGAATACAAATTACATGTCACCCCTGATATCTATGTATACAAACCAAGGCTTATATTTGGATCTACTATAAAATTTGTACAAAACTGTTCACCTTTCCAATTCTACTTGGCCATTTAAGAGAGTGTGGCAGCTGAAATTCTAACTTTGCCATTTTAGTGACTTTGGAGAAGTTATTTAAGTCACAATTTCTTCACCTATAAAACATGGATAATAAAAATGCCAATCTCACAGAGTTGATGGGAGATTAAACAAGTATGTAAAATACTGATACGAATACTTTCTGTATGGTGACATATAATGTTAGTATCATTTAGATTTTATTTGCTTTTGAATTGCAAAAGGAACTCTTGCTAAACTCTTTGTCAACATATAGAAATAGAAAAATAGGGGCTGGAGCGATGGCTCAGCAGTTAAGAACACTGACTGTTCTTGCAGAAGACCTGGATTCAAATCCCAGCACCAACATGGCAGCTAACAACTGTATGTAACTCCAGTTCAAGGGGATCTGACAGTCTCCTCTGTTCTCCACGAGCACTGCATGATATGGGTGCACTTACCTATATGCAGGCAATACATGCATACACATAAAATAAAAATAATAAATAAAATATTTTTAAAAAGAAATAGAAAAACAAAATATAGTCAATTTGTTTCCAATGAGAAATAGGAAAACAAAATAGTCAATTTGTTCTGAATGCCTTAGCTGAAGTCTAGCTAGAACCTGGCTACTAGGTTAGGAACAATTTCCTATTTGTTCTGCCCAGACTTGTGTTCCACTTATTTAAAAATATTATATCCTTTCTTTGTATCATCTTTTCATCATTTTTAAATATTTTTACTTTATTTGATGTCAATGCTTATGCATGTAGAAACATATAGTGGATTTTTATTGAACTGATGGTACTTAATGACTACTATAACTCATGCTTTCCAATACAATTTTTAGAAATTAATTTTTATTTTATGTTTATGCGTGTTTTGCCTGCATGTATGTAAGTGTGCACATGCTTGCAATTTTCAAAGAGGCCAGAAGAGGGTATCAGACTCCCTGGAACTGGAATTAAGAACAATGGGGGTGTTGGGAACAGAACTGGGGTCTTCTGCAAAAGCAACAAGTGCTCTTAACAACAGAGCCATCCATCCAGCACCCTCCAATACAATTTTAATAAAACATATTACTGGGAGAAGCTGAGAGTATTGACATATTTTAGTAACAACTTATTTAACATAAATTATAGATTAAATGAAATTAGATTATAAGCACAGGAAATCCTGCATGTGGCAAGATAAGTGGTCCACCATCCAATACATGAACAGCTCCCACTAAACTAGTTAACTGTGTCCCTGTGGTGCTCAAGTTTTCTTATTCCTCCAGAGCAATCACAACAGCTACATTCATAGTGAAAACCATTTTATACACATTCTCTTTTTCCCTAAAATGGGCAAACAATCCTAACACATCCTTTACTCTGTTTAGCTTATGCAAAGAAGAAATGGCATTTTTTGACATGCCACTGCTAAGTTTATGAGAAGAAATCTTTGTTTTGTGCTCAAATGTTTTAGCTCAGTGCTTCTTGTTTTCTCACAGGGGGTGTGATTCCTGTACTACAAAGTGTAAATATGGAAAGAGGCAAGTTCATTATCAAGTAGGCTTCACCCATGGTAGATTGTACCCTTCACATCACAAGCCAAATAAAGCCTCCTTTAAAAAAAAAAGAGACTTTGCCTATATGTAGCTAAATAACTACAAATTAAAACCTTTACCTTGAAATAAGCTTATTAATTTCACTTACTTCATTATGTCCTCTTGTAACTGTGATTGTAGCGAAACAGAACAATCAACTCTTGTCATCCTTGAGCTTCTTTCCTTACTTGGTAAAATTCTTTAATTCCCTCTCCACATCTAAGAGTCTGTAACTCTATCATGATTGCCTCCATCCTAGACTTATTGTACTTCATAGTAAGTGGCTAAATACAAAACAGCATGCCTCTTCATTCAGCTCTACCATATTTGCTCCAGCATAGAGAAATAGAACCTATCCTTAGAAAAATAATCTCTTTTTGAGAAAAATGTGGTATAGATTACCTGAAACCTTTGCATCACTATACATCCCTTGCTCCTGGAAACCAAAAAGATGTAGGTATGATGAATTAAACTGAAAATTGCTAAAAGCTTAGATCCTTTGGTTAGATTATGCAAGATAGAAAAGTACTGTCAACTTTCACTGGTTGGGCCATGTGGGAAGATCAAGTTATCTACTTATTTTCTGCTAACAATTCTTCTGGTATTTACAGATTGGAATACCTTCTCAATTATGTTATTTAAAACCAGATTATGTTTGTAAACATAAAAATTTATGTAAATGTGAAAATAATTAATATTCATTTAAATGTGATCTTCATTTGGAAATTTTCAAAAGGTTTTGACATGAAAATACTGTATCGATTTCTCAATAAAGACGCAGGGTGGCGCTGCAGGCTAAGGTTGTGAATAACTGCTTTTAAAAAAGAAAACAGTTTCCTGGCCCTTTGTTTCACAAGACGGACTCAAGATTCACGGTAACAGTACAGGGCTATGAATGCATTTGGGCTGTTTTCAAAATGAATGTTAGGTTAGGGGCATCTGTGTAAAGATTCCTACAGACAAGAAATCAGAAATCAACATTTCAAGCCATTCTGAAACTGCTGAGCAACTGGATGCAAATTCACATTCCATCATGGAGAAGCTGGAGAGACTGCATCAGGACAGGCAAGTGGTTGTTTTTATTTTTATGCTTTTTGCTCAGGTTCTAACAGAGCCCACTTCTTACTCTGTTTTGGAGGAAACAGATAGTGGTTCCTTTGTAGCCCACCTGGCCAAGGACTTGGGGCTGAGATCTGGGGAACTGGCTGCCCGTTCTGCACGGGTAGTGTCTGACTATGACAAGCAACAATTGCTGCTGGATCCTGAGACCGGTGATTTGCTTCTAAGGGAGAAACTAGACCGGGAAGACCTGTGTGGGCCCATGGAACCCTGTATACTGCATTTCCAGGTGTTCCTTGAAAAGCCAGTGCAATTTTTTCAAGGAGAATTACTGGTCCAGGACATAAATGATCACTCTCCAGAATTCCCACATAGAGAATTGCTCTTGAAAATATTGGAAAACAGTGAGCCTGGGACTCGGTTTCCATTGAAATCAGCCCAGGATTTGGATGTGGGCAGCAATGGGCTCCAACAATACACCATCAGCCCCAATTCTCATTTTCATGTGCTCACTAGAAATCATAGTGAGGGCAAGAAATCCCCAGAATTGGTGCAAGACAGAGCCCTGGACAGAGAGGAGCAGGCTGAGTTCAGCTTAACCCTCACCGCTTGGGATGGTGGGTCTCCACCTAGGTCTGGGACAGTCCTGGTTCGAATCCTGATCATGGATGTGAATGACAATGCTCCTGAATTTGTACACACCCCCTATGAGGTGCAGGTCCTGGAGAGCAGCCCCCGAGACTCCCTAGTCCTTACTGTCTTAGCTCGGGACGCAGATGCTGGGAACTTTGGCAGTGTTTCCTATGGCTTGTTTCAAGCATCAGATGAGATTCAACAAACATTCTGGATACATGAAGCCACAGGAGAAATTCGATTGAAAAAGGAATTGGACTTTGAAAAAATTAAGTCTTATCATGTGGAAATCGAGGCCACAGATGGAGGAGGACTGTCTGGAAAAGGCATTGTAGTGGTAGAGGTGGTGGATGTGAACGACAATGCCCCAGAACTGACCATATCTTCATTCACCAGTTCAGTACCAGAAAACGCTCCAGAAACTATGGTTACTATATTCCGAATACGAGACAGAGATTCTGGAGAGAATGGAAAAATGGTTTGCTCTATTCAGAATGATCTCCCATTCCTTTTAAAACCCACATTGAAGAACTTTTACACATTAATGACAGACGGAGCATTAGACAGAGAGAGCAGAGCCGAATACAACATCACCATCACAGTCACCGACCTGGGCACACCCAGGCTGAAAACCCAGCACAACATCACTGTGCAAGTCTCCGACGTCAACGACAACGCCCCCGCCTTCAGCCAAGCCTCCTACACCATGTACGTCCCCGAGAACAACAGCCCCGCCCTGCACATAGGCACAGTCAGAGCCACAGACTCAGACTCAGGCGCCAACGCCCAGCTCCCAGCTCACCTGCTGCCGCCCCACGACCCGCACCTGGCCCTCGCCTCGCTGGTGTCCATCAACGCCGACAACGGGCAGCTGTTCGCCCTCAGGGCGCTGGACTACGAGGCCCTGCAGGCCTTCGAGTTCCGCGTGGGCGCCGCAGACCGAGGCTCGCCCGCGCTCAGCAGCCAGGCGCTGGTGCGCGTGCTGGTGCTGGACGCCAACGACAACGCGCCCTTCGTGCTCTACCCGCTGCAGAACGCCTCTGCGCCCTGCACCGAGCTGCTGCCCAGGGCGGCCGAGCCGGGCTACCTGCTCACCAAGGTGGTGGCGGTCGACCGCGACTCGGGCCAGAACGCCTGGCTGTCGTTCCAGCTGCTCAAGGCCACCGAGCCAGGCCTGTTCGGAGTCTGGCCGCACAATGGCGAGGTGCGCACCGCCAGGCTGCTGAGCGAGCGCGACGCGCCCAGGCACAGGCTGCTGCTGCTGGTCAAGGACAATGGCGAGCCGCCGCAGTCGGCCAGCGTCACGCTGCACGTGCTGCTGGTGGATGGCTTCTCGCAGCCCTACCTGCCGCCGCCCGAAGTGGCGCGCCAGCCCGCGCAGCCCGACGCGCTCACGCTCTACCTGGTCATCGCCTTGGCCTCGGTGTCTTCGCTCTTCCTCTTCTCGCTGCTGCTCTTCGTGGCCCTCAGGCTGTGCAGGAGGACCAGGCCGGCCTCTCTGCCTGGCGGCTCTGTGCCTGAGGGCCGCTTTCTGGGACATCTGCTGGACGTCAGTGGGGCGGGGACCCTGTCCCACAGCTACCAGTATGAGGTGTGTCTGGCAGGAGACTCTGGGGCTGGTGAGTTCAACTTTCTGAAACCCATGGTCCCCAACCTGTTGCTTCAGGACCCTGGGAGAGAAGTTAAGGAAAATCCCCACTGCAGGAATAGCTTTGAGTTCAGCTAAGTTGTTGTGAGTGGTTCAATGATTTTGTTAATTTTGGTAAACTTCTCACTACAGTTTCTCCCTTAAGGAATAATGTGTTCTAAATATATTTCCAGTAGCCTAACCTATTCATGTGGCCTAACCTATTCATGTGTCTACTAGCTCTACACACCTTTCTTTTTTGATATGAAGCATACTTAAGCTTTTTAGTTTGCTGTACATTTCATGTTTTTCTCCATATTGAGTATCTCTTGGTGATTAATACTTTCATAAATATAAATCACTCATGTACTATGAAATTTTACCTTAATGCAATTTTAATTAATGTCATTCTGATACAAGTTAATGCTCCTAAGAAAGTTTGATCCCAGCACTGGTGAGGCAGAGGCAGGCAGATCGTTGTGAGTTCAGGGCCAGCCTGGTCTACATAGTAAGTTCAGGTCAGCTGGGAATACAGGGAGACCCTGTCTCAAAAAGACAAAAGAAAGTTTGAATTTGCCTGGTGTGGAGATGGACACCATTAATCTGAGCACTCTGAGAGGCAGAGGCAGATGGGTATCTGTGAGATGGAAGCCAGCCTGGTCTACATAGTGAGTTCCAGGACAACTGTGGCTACAGGGAGACCCTGTCTCAAAGAGACCAGAAAAAAAGTTTGGATTCTCATGCATGTGGTGCATGTACAAACAAGCAAGTACACATAAAAAATAAAATTTTAAAAAGAAAGTTTGATTTCTTATATATTCATGGCACCCGTGTCTGCCATGTACCCTTATCTTTTCAAAGGTAACTTCATCTTTGCAAAGGTAGATTGTTTAAAATCATTTATGTTGCCTTGCTCTTCTGAGTGACTGTACTATCAAGTTAAATGTCTTGAATAGCCAAGAGCAGAAAATCTAGCATATTTGCTTCTTCTAAAGTATGTATGAACACACACATTTTATAACATCAATACACAAAAGTTATGACACTTTCTTGGTGAACAACAGGTATGCTAATGATTGTTTTGTTTGTAAATGTTCTATAAATACTATGCTTAAACTTTTCAGTTAATTCTCATTTAATAAAAATTATAGAGAAGATATGTATTTTTCATCCTTTTCATTAAATAAAACTGTTATATCACTGTTTTGACATAATTCAAAGAAAAAAGAGGGGCTGGAGAGATGGCTCAGTAGTTAAAAGAGAACTGGCTGTCCTTGCAGAGAAGACCCAGGTTCAAATCTCAGCACCCATATGGCGACTAACAACCATCTGTAACTCCAGTTCCAGGGGATCTGACGCCCACTTCTGTCCTCTGTGAGCACTGCACAACACAGATGCACTTACACATGTGCTAGTATTACATTCATATACATAAGAGAAAGAAAATTCAAAAAGAAAAAAGAATGAATCTGAGACTCTGAGTTATGTCCCGGCTTCCTCCAAAGCAACTTAGGAATGCTGAGGACATCAAGTTTCTCTCTTCCTTCCTCATACCCCAGATGGAGACGTCCACACATTGTGTCATGCATGTACTTTCTTTGCTTTTCCTGCAGTTTCTCCTGCCTTTCAAAAGAGGAAATTTCTTCTGAATTTTGGTTATTCTCTTTAATTCTGATTGCTGGTGGATTTCAGATTTTTATTAACAAAAAGTTATTTTGATGTTTATCCTTTTGCTTTGTTGTTTAATGTATCTGACCATTTACTTTGAGCTAACTAAATACTCCAGCAAAATGAATATTATTTTGTTTGTTAATAGATTGGTGCAGTCAAGCATTTACTGACTTGTAATTTAGTATTATGTTGCATCAATAAGCCTAGTGGGCTGATTGTGTGATTTCTAACTAGTTACATTTATGTAGATATGACTATTTGAAAACTCATTTAACTTTTGGCAGAAAGTAAGTGATTAAAAAGCTTTCTTTATAATTTTACATTTACTTTAAACCTCAAGGATCATTCTATTGGAAGTACTTGTACTTTTACCTGACTTGGTTTTCCCCTTTAAGGATCTAATACAATAAAAAATGATTAACAGCTCATTATTCTTGAAAC